TCATATTATGTTGTGTCAGTTAAAAACTAAAATATATGTAGCAATTGAATTGGAACGTGCTGAAAACAAAGATCTTGACAATAACTCTTCTGCTCTATTTGTCTTTGGTGACATTATTCTTTAATACCGTCCCTGAACAATTGAGAGTAGTTAGCATAAGGTGCACACAAAAATAAATTAGACCAGCGTTTATATGATATCACAAAGTCTAATCAACATATATTAGGAAATCTTAATATCTGCATGCATGCAATGTATTTGTCATTATTCAACTATATAATTCCCAAGTAATTATGATATTTAGATACGAATATTACATTTGTTGACAAGATCAGAGAGCATTTGTAACGTCTTTAACATTGAACATGAACGGAAGTTCAGATATTGAAATTTGTTCGTGTCAGGCGAGGCAAGTTTATTAATAAAAATTGTAAGATAATGCTTAATTGTTTGTAATTATGCCAGCTTGTCCATTGTTACTCACCGGGAAGGTCATAGAATTTGAAAATCCTTATAGATTGATTTCCGGGTAATCTCAGGGGTGGTCCATCTACCAACGGTGAAAGCTGAGGCCGACCCCCCTCTCTTCAACAGTGTAACAAGTTGACCACTACACGTGGTGACGCAAATATAAATTTGGCTGATCGGGATTACTTCAAGTTGAGTTTGGGCTTTTTTCCCGACTTGAGTTATTTTCACGGGCTCTTTGACCGGCGTTTTTCATCAGCTCGCACAAAGCTCGTAGAAATAACTGTACAGTCGTGCACGTCTAAGTAACATAGAATGTTCTGTAAAGTAGCACTCATTTGAAGGTGATCCAGACAGTAAATATAAAACAAATATATTTTCACTAAAGTGATTATAAAAATGACAGAAACAAACTCAGTTCCCATCCTTTACACAGAGATAATATAATTGTGGCCCAAAGGTTAAATACTCATATAAATCAGTACAAAATTCCGACTATTTTCCAGCAAGTACAATCGTAAGCATCAAATTTTGTATCAATTGTTCGTAAACATGTTGGTTCTTGTTTTAGGTTTAAGACAACACACTCAATAAAGCGTAGAACGTCGGAAATAAGAAAAAATAAAAGCTATACATTTTGTTAAAAGTTACTAAATTACAATACATATACTCATATTACGGAGTCATACAGTCTTTGAATGGTTTAATATTGTATTCAACATTCACCATCTGCAGTTGAATATATCTATTTAAAGAATTCACAAAAAATGTAATCAGTTACGGATAATATTTATTTTGTAAATACTAGCGGGAAAGAACCTGACGATTTACTGGTGACAAAACCTAGTCATAATACCAGAGTAGTACACCCGACTCTAGCCTCGTGGTCATAACTATGCGTTCATAAATTGCTATTCTTTCTGTGTATAAATGGTATCTTACTCGTTTATTGTCAGTGCACGTCACATAATGTGTGATGACCAAGAGATCTATCCTTGGAATTATCGTATACAGATATTATCTGATGACAACCCACAATGATAAATGAACAAATGTGCCCCAGGTGCGGAATCAAACATTGCTATAACAAGTTGAGAAATCACAAGAGGAAACACACCGAGCAGCACCACTGATCAAGTCGGTTGTACAGTTCTATGCCAAGTAAGTATGGTCTTAGTTTCATTGTGAAGTTGGTATAGAGTGTGTTTACCGTGAGTTTTAAGTCGAGTCTCTATGTGAGAGACGAGACTCATGAACGAGTGACCACGTAATGTATTTTATAAGACGATTCTCAATCGATTGTAACTCGTTGAATGGCTATCTTCCAATCACTTTGAATCTCTCGTATGACACAACTTATAATATATTTTAAAGCTACAGTATTTACACGTCCTGATCCAATATGTACTTGTATTTAATCATAGTAACTATGGTCTTAAGCGGATTGAAAATGTTGTCAGTAATCGCAATTTTTGCCATAGTTGGCGTGTGTTATACAAATAGTGCAGGTAAGTTATGGGGGAACGCCCAAAAAGTCTAAAACTAGGGGAAACCCATTACAATGATCCCTTTTTGTTCCCAGACATTTTTGCACAGAAAGAGTGGTACTGTAAATAATATATTTTTTTCAAATGTGCGGATTTGGGACAACTGTTGCCACTGTCCTTAAGGAGTAAACATACACAACAGTTACCGCTATCAAGTACACGTGAAAATTGTTTCTATTGCAAATATTGTCTGCATTGTGGGCAAAACGAGTCATAGGTACGAATATAAATGTTCCATGACCTGAAGATGCATCTATTCTATCTACCTTTATTATTTCCACGACAGACGAAGTATGAATTGATTTCAGCTTGCGTCGCGTAAATGCCAATAAAATTAGATATTGTTTGGTTATTTGATTCTTAAATACATTTACTAAAGGTCGTCATCGTATGTACAATGTTTTATTTGCAAAGTAACTTAAATTTAAATTATGCGAAATTATTTTCTCGAACACAATTATAGTTTTTATGTGATACAATATTCTCATTGTGATAACGGTGTTTAAAGTGTTAATACAGCCACCGTCTTGTTCAAAGTTATCGCTACTAAAATTTATAATCAATTTTGCCCACCCCTTATATAGCTGTTTATTTTACCAATCACTAAATGTGTACATTTCATCTCCAGCAACATACACGAGCTGTACCTGTTATCGATACGAGGCATTCTGTTAAGACGACACATCAGACTGGTACACAGCCAAAACACGATGTGAAAATATGGGTGGTTGGCTCGCTACTATAGACCAGGAGTCCACATTCGACGGGATACGAAACGCCGTTATTGATGAAGGAATGGACAATGAAGACTGTCACAATTATGGCTTCTGGATTGGCTATTATGACGCTACCCCTGACGGTGATGGTCACACAGCTTTGGACTTTGAGTGGTTTCATGATATGTGTACTGACTGGACAGAGGGTCAAAACTGTGTCCAGATGTGGTAAGCAGGTCCTTTGATATTTTTTCTTGGAAGTAAAGAGTCGTAATGCTATATACACAGTGTAGTGCAAGAAATGTGCACCCACGTACTACACGGATCGAATACCGAGTGCTTATTTATTAATTCCAGTTTACTTAAACTATTGACGATAACAGTCGTCTTCAATATCAATATATCGGACTAAAACTTTAAATGTAAACAGAAATTGTAATTATATATCAAAGACTATTAAACAAAACTAATAACAGCTGCCGTTAGGTGTCCTTTGCATCTCAACGTCCGGTACGTTTCGCATAATTTTATACCCCTTCAAATATGAGTAAATTCATCTCCTAGAAAATAAAGGTGAAGTGAAGGACGTAAAGTAGATTTAAATATAATACACAAGTATTTACATAAAAAATTATTTCCCATTCTTTGTATCAATCAAATTAAAGCAACACTATTGGTTGGTTAGGTTAGAGTACGGCTACCTTTTATTCTACGAAACGTACACGCATAATATTGCCAAACCTGTGATGCCACTTTACGAGGTCTCTAACGGCCGTATTGAGTCTATTAATATTTAGATAAGGTAAATAAAATAAAATAAAATAAAGTGTAATTGCTACAATGTCTACAATATATAAACATACAATGCTGAATATAATTCTAAACTCTTGACTCCAACCTTGCCCTGAAAACTCCCTTCTAAGGTTGAATGCTTTTTGTAGAAATTTACCAAGATTACGTAGTACCTTTGCGGATTTTGAGCGCATTAGACTGAAATATTTTTCTGAATTGGGAAGATGCCAAAAATACTCAGGAATTAACCGTTTCCTCATAGAGTGGAATAATGGTCAAACAAGAACAAAATGGTACTCGTCCTCTACATTAGATAAACAAAATTCGCATATTCTTTCATCAATTTCCAACCCTGTATAGCGCCCCTCTTCAAAGCGCAATGTATGACTGGAACAGCGAATACGTGCTAGAGCATGTCTGTGTTTAGCTTCTGTGACTACAAAACATATCTTTCTGGTTCAAGCATGGTTTTAAAACTACAATATGATCTTACTTTAGCTTATGAATATCAATTACCCGCTGTTTGAACTGTACCAAAAACAGGTTTACATCCCCCCCGCCCTGGTATATCCAAACCATACCAAAGCCGTACATATAAAGTATATTTCTAATTTCAGTGGCCCATGATGTCCTTCCATTTTCATCTATTTTATACATAAGTCTGTAAGCATGCTTTACAACCCTCCCTTCAGGAAGTTCTGTGACTCGTAACCAGTATTTTATACATTTTAACAAAGAGTTCACAACAATCGGTAATCCGCCCACATTCCCCAAGTACGGCTTCAGTACATGTTTTATCACCAACCCCAAGAAAATGTTTTCAGCCTGAATATATTGCTGAAACCCCCAAATTTCTGCCCCGTACAAAGAATTGGTAAAATTAAAGCATCAAATAGTCTGAAATAAACATCATAATTAAGTATACCAACTTTATACTCAAAACTAAATAAAGAAAACATTGTTTTGCGTGCTTGTGCGGCCAAATTTTCAACAGCTTTAGACCAGCTGTTTCTACATGACAGCAATAACCCAAGATATTTGTACGAATTTACAGTTTTAATCACTCATAAACCATCTTTCTTTCGTTGAGTTATGGCCACCTTTCCGAAACACTACAATTTTAGTTTTCTTTTTATTTACAGTTATTTTCCATTTAATACAAAAGCGTTCTAAAATATTAATCAGTCGCTGCAATCCCACAATTGAATCAGAAAATATGACTACATCATCGGTATACAATAAAGCAAATAAATCAAACATTTCTTGCGTTAGCTGCACCCCCCTGTATCCCACATTCCCAATCATGATATATAATTCATATATAAACCAAGAAAAAAGAACAGGACTCATTACACTGCCCTGTCTAACACCAATAGTACAAGGAAAGTAATCTGAAATCCCACCATCATATCAGATGCACGATTAGACATCACTGTACATTGACTTGACAATGGTTAATATTTTATCTGATATACCAATATTGTGTGATAAAAAGTTGGCTATGGTCAACAGAGTCAAAAGCCCTGGCAAAAACAACAAATATACAGTAAAATTTTCCTTTTTTTTCTAAGATAAGAAACAATGTATACCCATACGAAGTGAGCACACGAATGTTGTCATTTGTTTTTATTTCTATTGTCATAGGTTCAGAAAGCAAGGCAGATTTGACGACCAATACTGCACAAAATTAAAGGGATATGTTTGTTAAGTACAAGAAAGTAGGTATTCCATTTCTAAACGTGTCTGCAAATTATGCGTATAGCTGATACAATGTTGACACGCGAGTTCAATTATATACTAATATTTTTATTTTTTCAGCTTGCGATTGTCAAATAGGAGATGAAGATGACTAAGACTTCCAGTTTCTATGCCAACCAGACACTCATTTAAATGCGTGCATAAATGATCCCTATGCGATGTAATGTGTAATTCAGTATTGATAATTAAAGTTTATCATTACAAATATTAGTATGTGATTTACTGCGCATGTCTCCAGAAAAATAACAAATTAATGCATCATGAGTCCCACTAGAGGACGAAATAGAATTCGCATTGAATGTTTGTTTATTCTGTAGTACGTGTACGTCTTGTGTATGTGTATTGCACCAGTAACATAGTTAATATTGAGAACCTCGGAAATCTGAATATTGGGGCTTATTAATCCAACCATACTTCATGAACTCATTGTGAACAATATATATGAATTGC